ACGGTTTCTTGCGTGCGAGGTCCGAAGCAGATTCATGACAAGAAATTGAATTTTCCCAGGGTACGTGCAACTCCGTTACACAGCATCTGTGCATTTGTTCAACGCGGACTCTGAGAGACAGAACTTCTTCGATGCAAGTGCACGGCAACTCCATTGCGATGGTGTTGTGGTGGCGTTTTTTATCTTCACTGAGCTTGAGATGGTGTTTGTTTGTTTGGTCAATCACTCACTCGAAATCCCAATATATTGGCCCTGATGGCGGGGTCAATCAAATATGAAGAGCGATGCTCGTCGCTTTATATTTTGAAGTTTGTGTCTTCTTTCCTTTTCCTTTAATTTTTGAAGCAGCACTTTTTAGTGAATTTGAATGAGGTAATTAGGTTGCTATGGACGTGTCACTCTTTAATAAAGCGGAGTGTACCATATGTAAACCGTTGTGTGGCGGATCTGCACCCTTAACACTGTCAGTTGCAATCTGTGATCACATTTTGCAAATATCACCATCTCTCCCTTCATGGGTTTGGCCTTGATCTCGTTACATCAATCTGAGCTCTTACCCTTCCAGCTTTGATGTATATCCAAATTTTTGTTTAGAGGGGTCAAATGCCTGATCATTCGACCTGCTCAGCAAACATAATAATCAGTGAGCTACGTTTGCAATTCACGGAGAATCTGGATGTAGAAGAAATATTCCTATCATTTTGTTCTGGCAGTCCGCTTTCGTGATTTATTGTTTTTGCTAGCAACAAAGTTTGCAAAGCTGGTATCTTAAAGGTTATTTTTAATTTTGATGATTTAGCCAAGAAGATCTTCAAACAACTGCGTCTATTCATTACCGTAGCCCCATTGCTTCTATCGTCCGGCGCAAGATGCTAACCACAAATGAGATGTTACCACTTGATCGGTTGCGCAAGCTGGAAAAAAGGCGTTTTCTCAAAGAGCGAAAGGGCCAGGTACCTGTTATGGACGCCGAGACGCTACGTGAGTTGTGTGTGTCCAATGATGGATATGAAACACCGGAGCTCAACGAAAGTTTATATGCGCACTTCCGCGGGTTTCAGCGCATCGAAGGTCTAGAACGCTATTGTAGCTTGAAGGCCCTTTGGCTCGAATCAAATGGACTGTCAAAAATTGAGAACTTGGAGAACCTTACCATGCTGCGATGCCTCTACCTTGGCAAAAATCTAATCGAAAGGATTGAGAATCTTAACACATTGCGAGATCTGAATACGCTAGATCTGAGCGAAAATCGCATTCAGTCACTAAAGGGAGTTGCAAATCTTCCAAATCTATTGTCACTTAATGCATCACGCAATTGCATCACCTCAAAAGCAGATTTGCAGGAGCTCGCTCAGTGTCCACTGCTCAACAACATCGATATCAGCCACAACTTAATCGCTGACCCAGAGGTTTTAAGCGTGTTCAAATTAATGCCAAATCTCAAGGCGCTGAGAATTACAGGCAACCAAGTAATTTCCAACACGCGCTCGTTCCGAAAGACATATATTGCAGCCCTGCCTGAGCTGTCATTTCTGGACCGTCCCATTTTTCCTATTGAACGTATATCTGTTACAGCGTGGCAGACTGGCGGAGTTGAAGCGGAACGCGAGGCCAAAAGTTTATTTGTACAGCAAAGAAATGAAGAACGACGGAGCACTTTAAAAGAATTTCGAGACTGGCAGACACAAGTGAGAGAGCGATATGGCACAGGGTTGGATCTGGAGCGCGAGCAGAAAGTGCTTCAAGCCACACCAAGGTCTATGAATCTGGGGGTCACTCGATCTATGGCCGAGAAGAATGCAGAGGAATGTGCCGAGTCGGACGCCCGCATGAAGGAGAGTCGCACAGACTGCGGGCAAACAATTCGCAAAGCGCTGGACAAGGCAAAAGAATCTTTATATTGGTCAGCCTCAGCCTTACCACAATTGAATCAAACTCATGCTATTTCTTTAGATTCGCAAATCTTCGAGAATGAAAAGAGCGGTGAACTTCGCTCAAAGCGTGAAAACAAGGTATTGAAGGCTTCTGAGGCCACGTCGAAGGGAGCAAGACTTCTCGCCCTTGGTATGAAAAGCCCGATTACAGCTGTAGAGGTCGAAGAGAAAGTTACTGGAACCCCTTTTCCGATTGATCAGGTGGCGCAGAGCATTTTATTGAGCGGCGATGAAATGCAAGCTGCCCGAGCTACTAATACCGTCGCAGAGATGACGAGAGTACGCGAAAGCAAGATCGAGAATTCAGTGTTACGCACGACAACCGATACCGCAAAGCAGAATTTAAGTGGACGTAGCGAAGGTAGCGAACGACATGACACCTGCGCCATGTCTTTGTTCACCGAGGAGCCGTCAATACAGCCGGACCTTCCACCTCCACCGCCAAAAGCATTGTTTCGTTCGATTCAGCGCGGCTTAGCCGATGTCGAGCCGCGTGAGACCTGGGCCCAGCTGCAGCAGCGTGCCAGCACCACGCCCTGCCAACTGCGTCCACATTCGCTGCCGTCAGCTTTTGGGGTGCGTAGTTTCTAAGAAAGTTTTCACTGAAAAAGACATGACCAATAGTTTCATCAATGTGGGTAAAAAGCAGGAGCATGACTGCGAGCAAATCGTTCAAACACAAATAGAAAGTGACAACGACAACGCTATTCCCGTCCGCGCCCTTAGTCGCGCTGAAATTCTACTTGACTTAGGGAAGACGCAGCAGCAAGACGAACATAGTCGGCTACAACAAGGTGTTGAGCTGTATACTAATTTGTGTGAGCTGGATTGAATATCACAATCTAGTATTCTACGAGTTTATTTGATAGGTCGTTAATATCATTAAGTGTGAGACTTAATCAAAAGTGGGACATTATTGTCACGGCAGTTGGTTGCTACGTCGCCTGTCGCTCTGTGCATTTATCAATCCACAGCCGCCACAAATCGATTAATTTGCCAGCACTTTAAGATCGTTCACTCGTACAACTAACCGACTAACTATCAAATACCCAATCTCTCTCGTTAGCGCAACACTATGTGGATGGTAGTGCTTACGCTGCTACTGTGCTCGCTCGTAGCTTTCTTGGCGTTCGGCGATATCTTTCTGACGCGGCTGTTTCGTTTTTTTTCGGCTTCGGTCGTGGGAAAAAGCTTTTGCATCGTCTGGTCGCTGCGTGATGGATCATTAGAGGTACGCGATCTAGTATTGGACAATCATGTAATGCCCAAGCTGGAATCACTGGTCGGGCTACCTCTTGGCTTTGAATGTTTGAAGATGAAGCGCCTTCTCCTAATTGCACCTTTCTGGGGACCCCTTGTACGGTTAGCAACCGGTCAGCTCGTAAATTCAGACCATGCGCTCACTAAGTCCAAAGTTTTAATTGACGGCCTGCGCCTTGGTCTGACTCTCGACGCCGCTGAGAAGTGGATGTGGCACCGCGATGAGAACGCAAGGCGCCGGAAAGACGCAGTCGAAGAGGCGGTTCAGGCACGAATAGCGCGCGTTAATGCCTGGACGGCTACAATTGTTCAAAAACTGAAGGATCTTGCGTCTCTTCGCGAGCAAATTCGTAATGTGGAGAAATTGCAGGCTCAAAGAATAAAAAATGTCAGAGCTGAGGCGGCAGAGAAGCCTGCGTTCTGGCACGTCTGGGTAGACAAGCTGCTAGACTCATTTGAGTTTGCGTTGCAGTCGTTTTCGCTTGTCGTTTGCGATGAATACTCCGGGGCCACTTTAGGAATTGCGATAGAGGGTTTCGAGATGGGTCAGAGCGCTCCGACTAGTAAAATCCCACGTAAGCGCAGTATGCGATTGGTGAATTTTGGAATGTATCTTAATCCGAAGCCTGGATGCAACTTGAATGCTTGTCATTTAATTGCTCCGCTTACGCTGGAGATTGGCGTTTGCTTGCCTTCTATACTTCAATCGCTCGTCATGGGATCAGGTCCTAAGGAACGTGCTCTGGAACTTGAAGTTTTATTTGCAAGAGATCAAAACTGTGAAATTGAGCTGCGTCCTGCTCAAGTAAATATTCTCTTGAAATTGCTGCAGCCAATAAATTATTACTATGATTGGCAAACGGCAGTCACCGTCGAAGATGACCTCGCATGCTTAGAGCTGGACCCAACCGAGTCGGAGGAGTACATGTCGCTCTTCGGTCAGCAGTGGAAACTCGATAACGAGACTAGTTTACTGCGTCGGATGTACGAGGGATACAAGCGAAAAGATTCCATTGACAAGCGAAAGGCTAGATTAGATGAGCTTGCAGTGAAAGTTCTTGCTACGCGCCTCCTTTATTTGCGCTCACTGTCGCTCGGCTGGGAAATTCCAAATGCAGGCACGCCGTTGTTATACGTGAGTGAAGAAGATATAGAAAGAGGAAATTTACGTCATTTTGCGAGAAATCCGGTTGATCATTACGTGGACAAAGAAAAGCTGCCGGAGTCTCCATCATTATTCCATTTATTCCGAATGTCCTTCAAGATGAAAAGACTGAACATTCAAATAATTGAAAATAATGAGAACAAGCTGATGACTGTTTTTGTGCAAGATGTAAGCTGTGAATTACGCTATCGAATGACAACGATTGACAAAAAGGATACTGCTGTTGAAATAGCGCTAGATGTTATGCGTTTTGGCTTGGTGGATAATCGCGACGCTCCGACAAATGTATTTCGTCAGATATTGGATCGCAATCCGGACGCGAAAAGAATGATGACTGTTGCTGTTTCGCAGCGAGGGGACGGTCACATGGACCTCGAACTGACTTTTAAGGATTTTTCGCTGTTAATTGTGTTTGATCCGTTGTTGTACTTAGTGCATCAATTTTTGCCTGCAATTGGTGAAAATGAAGCGGAACAAATGCGCTTTATTGCGTGTGAGAAGGCAAATAGCATGGATTCACCGGAATCGCGAGATGCCGCAATCAACATATATGAGGAAGATATTCCAAAATCTTATTCGCCTTTACTGCTTGGTGGAATGCCGCTTGGATGTAGCATTGTTTTTCATGGCTGTGAATTCTGTCTTGTTGGAGATTCCAAGACGCTCAAAACGCCTGTCTTGGCCTTTACTGCTGACACTAATCTTCGAGTCCTAGGATCGGAGCGCTCGGAGGCCGTAGAGCTCGAGCTGGTGGACGTTGCTTTGACTCCTTGTACGATTATTCTTCGCGACGACAGCATTGATCTAGACATTGGTGATTTGAGGACCATTTTAGAAATTGAGGGTGAAGGTGTTGATTTCTCAATGGGTTATCGAGTTGCTGTGGGTGACCCGAATAAAGACTCGTCTATAAGCGGTATCAAAGCGTCGGAAAGTGCTATTAAGACCGCGAAGAGCATGTGGAATGTTGCTCGCAAAGCTGCTTCGAACCAACAAGTAATTGAAGTCGATCATGCAGAAATTGATATGAACTCTAGTAGCAGGGATCGCAAAAAAGCTGGTGCCCGTCGGAAGCTGACAATGCAAATGTCTGACTTTGCGATGAATCTGTCTCCGACTGACTTAAGCATCATTTTAAGCATTATGGCATCGCTCACTGAAGCGATGAAGGAGGATATTGAAGTCATTACGGAGCGAGAAGAGAGCGAAGCCCGAATGAAGGAAGCAAGGCGTGTTGTTGAAGAGAACCGCTACATGGATCGACTCAAGAAGGAATTTAAGCTGCGTGACACCGACGGTGGCGGGACGTTGGATGTGTCGGAGATTGGCGACCTACTGCGAAGTGCGACTGACTGTGGCAACCTGACAAAGAGTGAATTTAATGCAACCGTAGCAGACTTTGTCAACATTGTAGACTGTGATGGTAGTGGAGACGTGTCCCTTGAAGAATTTGAAAGTGCTCTGAGCAGAAACAAAATATTGTATCCGCGTCTTCACCAGAAAGTGGTTGCTCTCACTGGCCAAGAGTACGTCCACCCCGATATGCAAAGGAATAAAGTGCCTTACATTTCAGGGTCCAAGGCGAACACACTTGCAAATGCTGCAGCTCTTGTTTCCTTTTGGGAGCGCTACGAGGATCAAATTGGTGCTACAAAGTCATCGTTGATGGGACAGAGACCAATTATCGTCCAGAAAAAAATGGTTCGTGCATTCGAAAATTACGAGTATGCTCAGGAGGCGTGGAATCGAATTATAAACCCGTCTTTGATTAAACCGTCTGAGCAGAGCCCTTGGTTGCTTAGTATGGAGATGGACATGGGAGGCCGAGGAGACGTGATTGATCAGTTGCTGTCAAGTCTGAATAAAGATTGCCACGATCAAATTGTGAACCCTGGATCACGTGAACAGCAGACTTTTGTTCAAACCGTTCTATTTACATCGTTTGGTGGATTCTACTTGCGACTTATTGACGACATGTTGCCCATGGGAATACCAGCAATCGAGATGTGTTTGGAAGAACTGGGCGTTTACGCGAATTTCTCGATATGGGAGGGCGAATCGTCTGGCTCTGTGATTGATTCTAGGGAACAAGAGCGATGTGGGAACAGTTTTGGAATAGCCAAAATTACTTTTGATCTTTACGGCAATTATTACAATACTAAAGCGCGTCAAGTCGAACCATGTCTAGAGTTTTACCAAGGTATTTTGGATGTAAGAAAAGAGCCCGGTGCTCCATGTACAATCATTTACTCGTCAGATCATTATTTTCAATTGAACATAACTCATGCTTTCATGGAAGCGGTAAATTCAAACATGGCCGCTTTCTCGAAGGTAGAAAATCGTGCTGAAGCTGAACGTCCGCACGTCAAAGAAATTGGCGCTATTTTTTGGATGTTAAATGAAAGTGGAGTTAATGTTAAATATTACATGGTGGCAAAGAAAGTAGCAAAGGAGTGTGTGCGGGAAGAAATAGTGACAGCAGTCACTGCTGTTCCATCTGGTGGGGCACATGCATGTAAGCTTTTGAGTAGCTGTGAGGCAGAAGAACACGAGCAACAAAATTTAAAGGAGAAGCAGCTTCGTCAAGCTTTCAGAAGTGCTGATCATGATGGAAGTGGAGAATTAGATACAGAGGAAGTGCGTGCTGTGCTTCAAAGCGTTTATGAAGAGGAAGACAAACAACGAAGAACGTCAGGATCAGGAGCTTCATCTTTACCCAGACGCACTAGTAGCAGCGTTATGGAAAGTGAGGTGGACTTTGCCAAAGCTGTAGAAGACTTCATCGCGCTGGCTGACACGGACAAATCTGGACAGGTTTCGTGGGAAGAGTTCAAAAGCGCAATAACGAAGTCGAGAGCGAAAGTTGAGCGCTACCTCACTGTTGAAATCGAAGGCTACCGGACGATTCAAGATATTCCGTTGATGTCGATTGGCCAAACTCAAGTATTTGAGTTGACACCATTTTTTGAAGATGTCGAATCTGAGAACTCGATTGCAGTGTTGTACGACCTTGGAGTGGCTCTTTTGACGAAAATAGAAAAGCTGACACGCCACGAGCTGCAGAAAGCGTACGCTTGCTTGCTTCGCGTGAAGGAGCTCGATCCTAATTACGAATGGATTGACTCTTACTACGCCGACTGCATGCGCCAGTATGTCCCTGTGCTAGCTGCAATTCATATATCCGTCGACGGTTTTTATGGTCTGCAAGTGAAAATTTCCGGTGGCGAAAGTATTCGCAATGGAACTGTGAAGGATACGGAGCTGCTCATGTACAACAACCAAGGGGATATAGCAGCTTGTAATCCAAAGCAAGAGTGTGGACAATACTTTTATATGCTTTCGGCTCTTGCTACGATTAGTATTCCTCTGGACCTGGTTGGAGCTGGGTACTTCGCCATTCGTCAGAGGGGGGAAACAGACTGGAGCAACAAGTTAGAATTATCCGTCTCGAATCAGCGGTTATTCAAACAGTTGACAAGATTTGAGCAGCTAGAGGCCAAAAAGGCTTTGCGAGGTGAAAGTAATAGCGCAGTATCATCTACGAAACGTGTGAAAGAAAAGTTGGGTACAAATGCCGCCCTTCCCGACCCAAACGAGTTCATGCCTGTTGGTAAAGAAGTGGTTTACCCATCATCGAGTTGTATAGACAATCAGCCAACTGTCGTAATCGAAACAATTTCTGCCAATGAATCTCGCTTAGGAACCTGGTCACTGACGATTCAGCCGCAATTGGTGCTCCACAATGTTTTGCCTTGCAGTGTTGAATACGCAATTGTTCAGCCTGATGATTGCCCACCTGATACACTTACAAGTATGGGGACGTTTCGCCTTGTTGACGACCCTGATAAGGACAAGAAATCGCGATCTGTGAGGGTTCTGGGCTCTATCGATTACTTTCGATTCGTGAACGAAATCAACTGTCGCAAAATGTGGATTGAAAGCGGCAAAACTGTTCAAGTTTTCGGTCTGGATCTGAGCAAACCCGCTTTGATGATAATGCGACTCTGTGCTAGTGAGACAAATCGTGCTGCGACTTGGAGCACACCATTCTTATTGCATCTTGAGACTGATCGTCATGCATTCAATGAGAACGAGTTCGAGCTGCAATTTGATGATGGTCCAAGTTTCATTTTTCACCCGCAGTGGGAGGAGAATGCTGCTCGCTCTGTTTTTTTTTACTCACCGTTCTGGGTTCAAAATCGAAGTGGATTGGATCTACGCTTCAAGTTGCAACGGGGACGCTCGTGTACCGTGGAGCAGCATCGTGCTTTCTTTCCTGATGCCAAGGAGATTCCTTTGATGGTTACCGCACCGCCTGATAAGGCTCTTATTAGCGTATGTCCATATCAAGAAACACCTTATATGTATGAAGGCGAATCCTTAGTCTCTGGAATGATCAAAAAGTATCTGCCAAACTTTGAAGACTTGGGTTGGTCTGAGGCCGAAGACTTGTCAGCCGTGGGCAGAAAGGGAGAGCTTCGCCCTAACGGATCTGGAAATTATTCTTTTGTACTTGCATTTGAAATCCAGGCGGCACCAGCACAGTTTTTCCGGTCGAAAATTCTCGTGATTTCTCCACGATTTGTGGTCTTAAGTACTGTGCCGCGAAAACTACAGATGACCCCGATTATATTGGACAAGAAGGGCAACCGTGGCAGGGGTCGATCTAAGGAGACTAATTGCACCCTGAAAGAAGGTGAGGCAGTTGTGATTTATCGCTTTAGAGGCCCGGAGAAATACGTCGCTGGTTTGCGTATTCGTGACATGGCAAATGATGCCCAAGACTTGGGCGATTGGAGTCCAAATATACCGCTATTTAAGCTAGCTTCGAAGCTCAGTGACCCAAACGTAGTTTACAACATGTCAGAAGACATGGTGTTCTGGACTCGCGGATGCTTAGGTGATGGTCCTGTTTGCAGCGTCAGCTTGCATGAGACATCAGAGACAATTTTTGCTACAGTTAGAGATATTTCAGCAAACCCAAATTATCGCATTGAAAATCGTTCGACGCGTTACTCATTTCGCTACGTTCAATATGGGGTAAAGACAGCAGAGGAAATCGTTTTGGGACCATTGGAAAGCCATACATTTGCTTGGGAAGATCCAAATGGAGACTTAGAACTGCGTGTGACCGCAACCCACTGGAAGGTTCCAACGACAGTAAATTTTATGCAAATTGGAGAAGTAAAGCATGCGCCTCAGGGCCTTTTTGGTGAAGTGTACATTGATAATTCGACACGAGTCTTTGCCTTGGGAGATACCAAAATATATTCAGAAGTCCGACAGCGTCCATTCGTTAATGACTGGCTTACTAATACTGTGATTGATGTGTCAATGCACGGACTTGGTATCACACTGGTGGACGAGCAACCACGAGAGGTTTTGAACATTACTATGGAAACCATTATGATATATTCGAAGGCTCTGTCTAGAAGCGTTTCTTTGATTGTTCATCACGTTCAGTTCGATGATATGACTCCGCATTCTCCGTATCCTGTCGTGTTTGCTCCTCTCGACAGTGGATTTAACAGTGACAAACGTGAGGGGTGGCTGCCTGGTGATGGAGAACGTCCATTTTTCACGCTGAGTTGTGAAACACTTCCACAAACTGGAATTGTCATTGTTAATGATTTCGATTTGCAATTGGGATCTATGGCAGTTAAGTTGAGACTCGAATATTTGTTTGGGTTAAGCAACTTGTTATTTCAGTTCATTCCAGGAAGTGATGAAGCTACTATACTACAGCAAGGCTTGGAAGCCAAGAATACGATGCTAACCCCAAATGTTCCCATTCCAGATGGCTCGATGTCAGCAGGCACACTGATGTTTTTCAAGCGCTGGCACATGAGTGAATTTGAATTTGACTTAGTGTTTGATTCATTGCAAGAAGATAAAGGGGAAGGCATTACCGCAATTTTAGGCAATACCTTGGGAAGTATCGTTGGTGGAATTGCCCACGTGACACCAGAATTTCACTTCAGTGAAATAATTTACCACAATCGTTTTTTTAATGAATACGATTTAATTTATGATGTAGTATTGAAGATTGTTTACTCGGTTATTGGTCAATGGTACAAGATCGTTGGCAGCGTTGAAATGTTGGGTGATCCAGTTGGACTCGCAACAGACATTGTGGATGGATTTGCGCTGGCGGCACGCCAATTGAAACGCGATGTTAAGGGTAAGAGTCGCCGAAAAGGCCAAAGTGCCGTAACCGTCGTTCAAACTGTCTTTGGCGTGCCGCTGAAATCCATTGGAAAGGTATCAAATGGCCTGGGTGACGTGGTGAAAAAAGCGACGAAATTTGAAAGCCAAGAGGATGGTAATGAGCCCCGCCACATTCCCGAAGGTTTTGTACAGGGTGGCAAGGTTCTTGGAAAGAGCATTGCCTATGGAGTTACGGGCTTTGTCAAAGAACCCGTCCGCGGAGCTAAAAGGGGTGGTGTTAAAGGATTTGCGAAAGGTATCAGCCGTGGAACTTTGCAACTTGTGGCATCTCCAGTTGTCGGTACCCTAGGCGTGGTCGAAAAGTTATCACAGTCCGTGAACAATACGACACACTTGATGGATGAAAAGCATTTTGAAGGTACTCGCCGACCTGCGCGAAACCTACAAGCAGGATCACTGAAGCAGCTTTCAGACTCTAATGTAATTACTGAGGTGGAAGTGCACTGCTTACATATCGACGGTTTGCCTGACAACGTGAATCCGAAGGTTGTGGTACGCGTATACTCACAGACAGACGGCCATCCTGCAAAAGATCTAGGACTGTACAAATCGTCGACAGCGCATCACACTAGCGCTCCTAAATATGACCAGTCGTGGCTGCTAAGTGTGACATCGGCGGATACTTATATCGAGGTGAATGTCTATCATAAGCGCAAGCCGCTTCCCAAAAAGCGCCTTGGGCATGTCCGTTTTTCTATGGAGGACATTTACCGTGATTTTGAGTCGGTTCCGGCAAAGCTGTTGACTGATATGAATGCCAAAATGCAGCTTAAGCGCCGCAAACGCGTACGTGGGAGTATCATAAGCAAGCTTGCCTCAGCTGCTGAGCATCCAATGGAAATACGTGACGACTCGTGGCGACAGCGACTCAACCGCCTGCCAAAAGCAGGTAGCAGCATTTTATCAGAGGACGAAAACGAAGGATTTGAAGATTATGATCAGGAGGTAAGTGTGCTGAGCGGAAACTCAGTTTGTCTGGATGGTACATTTCCACCTACACCAGTAGGTATTCCACTGCAAGAGTGTGAAACGGAAGCTAAAATTTATTTGAGTATCCGGTATGTGAACGACATGCGGCGTTACGCGTAGACTCACAGATTATTCCATATGACATTTCCAAAAACTAGAGTGAGAGTAATACGGACGACGAAGGCCAATCAAAAAAATATGCTAGCTGAATACATCCTATTTTACATACTGCATGTTGAATTCAATCTTCAGTATAAGCTATTGATATTAAGAAGCTGATGCAATCGCCAAGATGAGAAGTGAATGACTTATTGGTTTTGATGTCATTAGGTTGATCAAGCCAACAATGTGATTTATGCAGCTAAGTTCATCAAAATGCGCGTCAGCTCATCTAACCACCGAATACATTCGTCCGTATGTCGAACTTGCCATGTTGACAAGCAACTGTAAGTGATTGCGGTGACCAATGGACGATCAACATTACCGCTCAAAGAAGGTGGCTGCTGTAATTTGATCGCACTGATGGCCGACATATTATCATCCATATTTTGACGCAAGTGATCACATCCACATACATACAAATGTATTTTAAACATTGCGTGATTTTTAATCTTGATTGAAAGACAGCTGCACATGCTGCTTCGCACAAATATTCCAAGGAACCAATTGCTACAATACAAGTAAGCAAAATCGCGCATGCGCCGCCGTAATTAGCAAATTAAATTTATTTGCCCTATCGCCTCCTTGTCTTCATCTTCATTCGAGTCGGAGCGTGAGCTGCCGCACCTACTGCTACTTGTTCCGCTGCAGCCTACCATAAAATTGTGAAGCTTAGAGATGATCATATCAAGAGCCACTGAGTTGACACCGTGAGGAATAATAATGTCTGCCACGCGCTTCGATTGCTCGACAAACATCATGTGCATGGGTCGTACCGTCTTCATGTACTGATCCATAACAGATTCAGCTGTTCGACCGCGCTCCTCCATATCACGATGCAAACGGCGCACAAGGCGGATGTCAGCGGAAGTTTCTACAAATATCTTGATGTCCATGAGGTTAGCAAGCGTTTGATCTGCAAAAATCAAAATACCCTCCACTAAAACCACGCTATTGGGTTTCATAGGGGCGGTAGCTTTGCAGCGCAAATGTGTATTAAAGTCGTATATTGGAACGTCGACCGTCTTGCCAGCTCTTATCTGTTTCAGGTGTTCGATCATTAGGTCAGTTTCGAGCGCATTTGGGTGGTCAAAGTTATGTTTTGCACGCTGTTCCATGGAAAGGTGCGCCAAATCCTTGTAGTAGAAGTCGTGTGAGAGATACGATACGCGGTCGGCGCCGAATTCGGCCATGATGGCGCGAGAGAGCGTAGTTTTGCCAGAGCCTGAGCCGCCACACACACCCACAACGAGAATCTGATTGCACGAGTCACCTGTTGAGCGCTTTAAATTCGATACTGGATCCGTTGAGTTGTTAATGTACACAATTTTCTTGACCAATTCCAATTCGCTTTTGGTGGATACAAGTGGTTGCTGCATCGTAAATCTTTGGCGCTTTCGGCGTTCTGAGCGCGCGTGTGTAACCAACAGTGCAGTTACCAGCGCTACCCATACTGTCGTCAACTCAAAGCTGGCCTTTACCATTGTCAATATATAAGAGAAACAATTTATCGACGACTTTATCCGAATTATCATTAACGAACTGTAATAAAGAATGACAAAAAGTATTTTTATCCCGGTAGCTATGCCATACGACACATGTTTGTTTTGACAGTCCAGGATTTATGTCTTCTTTTCCAGTTCACATCTAGTGAGTGTCGGCAACTGAGTCAATAAGAATCTGATAGCCCGAGTCCAGCGAAACGTTGAGGTCGCGAATAGCTAAGCAAATGGCTGGAATGTCTGTAGCTATATCGAGAAAATCCGCCAGAAAGACCAGCAGCTGGAAGTCGCTGATCCGTTTGACAAATGGTTCGCTGCTATACTTTTGTAGCTGATACTTCAGTGCTGCACGGGTTTGATATACACCCTCGCGATTGATTTTGGGAAATTCACATCGTAGCGGCGACGCATGCGGTACGACAGGCACCACACATAGAAAAAAATTGTTATCCACCTCTGTGGCGGGCTTAGCCTCTACTAGAGCCGTGAATGTGTCGTTAATTGCGCAGGCCTTGGGATTATGGTCGTTTTCCATCAGAGCTCCGGCCGCAAACATTTCAACACATTGATTGCTAACCTGAAAGGCCTCAAACGATGCCTGACCTTGCTTATCCAGCGTAACCTTAAGCGTAAGGAACAGTGAACTTTTGCCGCCAGCATCAGCTTGCAGCTGCGCTGCCAATAGGATTTCGCGCACCGAAAAGTGAAAGTCGCTATCTTCGCGCGGAGGGTGCGAGAAAATCCAGCCAACCTTTTCACACCCCAGCGCTTCTGAGATTGCGTCCACTTTTTCTGCATTTAAATCGTCCAGAACTTCAAATCCATAAGGGTTTCCCTCTTGTGGGGGCTCATAGATAAAATCGACAGTCACCTCCTTAGTCTCAGAATTCACGGAGCCATAGAGCCAACCACAACGCGACTGCTGAAAGGCAAATTGACGCAAATATGCCTGAAAGTCATTGCAACTTGCGCCGTCTAGATGAACTTTTGTCACCTCTGGCTCTTTTTGCGCGGTGAGCTTAAACTCAAATTGAGCATCCATGCGCATAAATTCACCTAGCGACCAGTGCATCTTCATATCTCGCAAAGACTTCATCCCCGGCCGAAAAGCCTGCTTGTCGGCACGGTCATGATATTCCACGCGCGTTAGCGTACCGTCTGCGTTAATTTTAGTTCCGATAGTACCACCCGTTGCAACCGCTTGACCTTCGTAGTCTAGAAAGAGCATGTCGCCGTGGCCTAATTGCAGTGTACGTAATGTCTGCGTGTCAGCAGTCTGCATCGTGGCTTGCTGGTCCAGCGTCAGCCGCTGATGCGTCGGAGCAATTGAGTGCTGTTCAAAAATCCACAGCTTGATATCTGCGATAGTGGACGATGGTGTTAGGTTCTCGATTCGCCATATGCCATTCTTGGAGCGCACGCGAATTATCATGCTTCTTAACCTTTATATCTTACAGCAAAAATCAAAGCTTTGGCCATATCCAAGTTTTGATCTAAGTAAACTCAACTGTTTAAATCATTTATCAGAAAAATATCGACTTGAGTAGTATTAAAATCAGGGAGAGCTGTGTTCTGCAATGGATGTAATAAACACCAAGTTTATAAAATGGTAATGAGCCAAACAGAAATTTATGAGCCGCAAAATGATTAGCTCTTCCAAAGACTAGTTAGTTACTATTGAATTTTTCCCGTCAAAACATTGAATGAAAGTCTATTTTCTTAAGTGGTGCCTTGCAAGCATATAAATCAACGAGCGATACTACATTTCGCTATTGCAATATAGCTGAGTTAGCGATTCTGATTGAGTACCGCTAACTAGAGAGTCTGGTCTATCATGACTAAGGCTAGCGATTGCAAAGCAAAAGAACTTAGTCGACCACGAGCTGCCATCTAGTCCACCAACATCGTTTTGGCGCTAAGGCGCTTCTCGCCTGGGCTAACATATTGTTTCCATGCCTCCTTTTGCTTGTGAGCCGTGATGTGGTGATCCAGAACCTCCATCATCATTTCTCTGTCGAACACAGATGTTGGCGAGCCATATGCTGCTGCTTGAAATGCGATAACAAGCTTCGAGACTTCACGCCCAGAGAAACCGTCGATACGCGCCGCCAGATCTTCGAAATCCGAGTCCTGGACATCTTCCACGTAAATCTTTTTAGCACGAGAATTTTTTGGTTCACGTATGTATTCGTCGAAATACTGTTTGAGCATGCGCACACGCTCATCATAACCAGGCAGTCGAAATTCTACAATTTCATCTATACGATCGTTGATGGCCCAGTCAAATTGCTCTGGCTGATTACTTGCGAACACGATCATAAACTTGTCACTAGCCTCGCCCGTGCGATAAAGAAACGCATTAAGTGCATTACGCATATCTTCGCTCATGACGGTGTTGCTGCGTTTTTGGAGGAACGCATCAGCCTCGTCAACGAAAAGAAGCAAACCCCGACGACTTTGCGACGCCCAATCAAAAAGCTTATGAATTTCCGTCACACCTGCGCGACCAAGCGGAGCAACGTCACCACCCGTGAGAATGGCGTACTCGAGGCCAGAGTGACGGGCCAATGCCTTTGCAAAAAGTGTTTTTCCTGTACCGGGGGGGCCGTGCAGCAGCAAGTGGCGAAAGGGTGCCCGATTAGCTTTTGTGTGAAACGTGGACAGAGCCACGCTGCGCAGGCGTTCATTTAATTTGGGCTCAAGTACGACTCCCTCGAGGGCATCTGTTGCTTTCTGAAGACGCAAAGCACGCTTAATGGACGGAATGGGGTTGGCCACTACCTGTACGGCTGAGCGACGCGACGTCTCACGAACCAGAGAAGGTTTGCCCATACGTGCTTCGATGTATCTGCCCGCAACATTAGTGGACACCTTAGCGGTGTAGATACCAAGAGCCAAAGCCGTCAAAGTTGCGACAGTTGCCGTGAGCTTTTCTTTGTCGTCGACAAAGGTCATGATACCCGAGCCAACAGTGTTACCAGCTAGCTTGATACTTTCCAGTACTGTCTCACGGTACTCCTTAGCACGCACACGGGCCTCCTCAAGGTGTAAATCGTGGTTTAGACGCTCTTGTTTGATGCGTCCCTCAGTTTCGGCTGCAACTTTGGCTAGTTCAGTTTTTTGCCGCAGCTCAGCCTCATAGTCAAGTGTTTTGCGACGCGAGGCTTCCTGACGTCCTAAGATCTCCTCCTGCTTTTTTAACTCCTGCTCCTTCATGTATTTCTGCGCAGCGAGTTGATCGGCATACTGTTTGCGCTTAAGCTGGTCCTGGTACTGTGCACGCTGCTGGTGTTGACGCGTTTCTTCCTCTAGTGTCTTGCGACGTTCCTCACCCTCCTTCTGCACGCGTACAATCTCGTATTGCTTGTAGAGTGCCTCATTCTCCTTAATCTTTGCCTGATTCTCTAACTGTTTCGTGCGTTCAGTTTCTTTTGCCAGGCTAAAAGCGTCCTTGGCGTGGCGAGAGCTCTCAAGCTCGCGAGCGGCCTTGGCTGCGCGCTCCAAGCCCGACGGGTCAAACGAATAGCCGCCAGCTCCATTTCCGCTGACATTGCTCCTGGGCTGTGACAATGTGTTCTGCACTTGTTCAGTCGCCTCGGGTGCGGGTGCGGGTGCGGGCGCATTGCGCTTCACGCCTCCACCACCGAATCCGCTAAACATTGGTGACAGACAAATGGACTGGATGGGGTACGCAGATACCCGTACTTAGCTGGATTGATCATCAATTTCACATATTTGCGAAATTTTGAAAACAGCGTTATAAAAAAATAAATCCCACCAGAAATAAGGCAGGCAGGCATCATTAGAAGCGTATTTCAAACGTGGGTTCTCAATTAATCGACACGCACCCATGCAAGAAATTTAGGCTGCTGCGACCCCCGGCGAGGTTTCGATTCGAGTCTTATCAAATCTTGCTGAACAAGGTGAATTGGACACCTTCATCGTAAGAACTTGGCCCATTTCTTAGAGAAAAAGATTGTCAAATTAGAAAGATGTTCGCTTCAGAAAAGATCGTTCATTCTAGAGATGCGCAATATATTTACTAGCATAAAACTTGCTTACAGCTAACATGGATTTAAAAAAGTGTTTTATGATATACTAATCCAACGAGATGACCCAGCTAGTCTTTGGACTTGCTTGCTTCATACAGCAGTAACCAGCGAGGTTTCTTGTTAGTATCATCCTTTTTCGTACGCGACTTGCGACGCTTCTGAGCTTCTACCTTGGCATTCAACCATGCCAGGTAGTCGTCTTTAACTGTGGTGCGCCATTTGATATACTGTTCTTCGTCAAATGGGCTGGTGGCAACCTCTTCACTGCTGATTCCGGGCGGTAAGCCAACCTCAGCGCTCATGATAGTGCTGGAACCAAGCGCAGCTGATTCGAGCGGGCGTTCAGTTCCTTCCGGATCGTTACTGGACAGGAGCAGATTGCTAGAAGCAAGAAAGAAGCTCTGGAGCAAAATTGGGGAATTATAGTCGTGTTAATCATGAGATATTACACAACTCCTGGTGGTGAACTTACTCGCGAGGAGACGCCTCCGAAGCGATTAGCTTCCCTGAACATATGTCGTTGATGCTGAAGAGATATAAACAAGTGCAAAAGTTAGTAAGCAGATCAAATGCATGCGGGGATATAATATTTACAAGTTCCAAATCGGTCAGGTCTTCCACAAGTTTCAATGGCTGGATTGGTCGCTGCAGAAAAACTGTCAGATCTGTCTGCGCAAATGCTGATTAGAGACGCTGCACCTACCAAAACGCGACGTTTCCATATTGTGTCGTCTTCCGCAGTCGCGGAAATAGTCTCATAGCCGCGCGCCGAATTTACGTGGTAGTCAATCAGATTCGCATACTCGTCATCATCAAATCCGTTATTTATTTCAAGCAACCTTTCGGTGATCTGTTAGAGAATGCGTGAACACCAGGATCAACCGATTACATTGGCTTTAATTACTGACCGCTTCCAATTCAACGTAGCTGATAGCACGCGGCAGACAAAGAAATGCACTAACAGTCCGCGCTAGCTTCACTGCAGCTGTTCCAACAAGACTTGATCGACCATCGCCAACGTCAAGAAGCTTCCCAGATGAAGAACCGTTTGTTCGTGACCCCAATTTAGTGAGACAGATGAGGCTTAGCTCTTTGGTCACAATATCTCCAGCTTCTTCGCTGTCATCTTCGCTATCAGATGAAACGAGGTCTACTGTGTTATTGACAATCTTCAGCATCGCCAGTGTTCGCGTTTTGCGTAAAAGATGATCAATATGGTCATCAAAAGTCAGCAGTGGGACGTCTAAACCACCGTCCACCTGTTTTGTACCTGGCTTTAGGTAGTTTTGCCGCTCATTCTCATTACTAGAAGCTTGGTCGTTACTCGTTTCATTGACATTGATACAATCTTCATCGTCATCTGAGTCAAAACGCAGCATTTCACTGTTGAGCTGTGGGGCCGGCTGATAACCTGACACGCGAAAAAATCTCAACAAAGATTAGCGCTCATTTATTCAAGACGGCAGCTTTGATCTTCGCACGATATCTAAAGCCGTTGACCTGCGCGAGAGCCTTAGCCACGCGTTGGTGCTTGAGGTCATGGATGCCGTCAAATTCGCCGTTCATCACTAGCTATGTTTAGAGGGATAAACATATTAGTGAATTTTTTTAATTATCACAGTTTTGGTGCTCAGTTTACAAAGTAAGATTGGAGGTAAATCCCATTATTTGGGGTCACACAGTATTTGCGCAACTGATTTGTCGTGCACTTTGCACCGAGAAAGCTGGAGCAAATAGCTTTACAATGAAAATGGTTGACAGCCTCTAGAGTAAGTACAACTTAGCTCGTTCTTGTGTACATATGTTGAGGTTATAGTAGTAGTAAACATTCTGCTCGCTCTACTAAGTTACTCTTTCTATTATAACGCCCGAAGCCCCCACTTTCAAAGGGGGTTATAAGACCTGATATAACGCCCTCCATAATAATGCGCACTGGCGGAGTTTGTTGGCAGTGCCTTCAGCATGTAGTCGGTACGAGGTTGAAACGATGTCGAAACGGGAGGCATATGATGGATCGATGAAACTGAAGTAATCAAATGGATTCATATTCTCGCCGGTGGCTTTCCTACACGGGCTGCAATGAAGTCTAAGCGCGCCCAAAGCCGATGCGGACATGGTGGGTGAATCAAGCTGTATTCTCGAGGCTCCCTGCAACGATCTGAAAAGAATAGGCCTAAGTGAAGGCGGGCATCTTTATTGAAGATGATGAAGTAATTACTGATTTTTTCTGAGGGCTGCTACGAAGCGTGTGACCTGGGAAACCGTTCACCAATTTTCCCAAGAGGTTAACAAACGGGAGAAAAATAAGTAGATTTTAAGACATCTGATGGCTGGCTACCTATAGTTATGGAACGCAATCGATTCTCGTTCCAAACTTTGTCCGATAAAATCCTGTTTTTCAGTACGTGAAAATCTGGGCCGTTCTCAGATCAGCTTGCGTTCCTTCCGATACGGTTCTGATTGGCGAAAATATTGGAAAACCCGCGGCGTGCAGTAATGTATACAACTATACAATAGTACGTCACATTCTGCTGAAAACCACTGGGATAGCCTCTGAGAGAATAAAAGTTGTGCTCGCCGACGAAGTCGATGGCTGTAATGTGACGCCTCTGGCTTCAATCAAGGACAAAGATTTGTCAACGAAAAGAAATATGGGTTGCATATCAAAGCAAGGCCTAGGTTGATAAAGGAACACTGAATTCATGGCTGGTACATATAATTTAGCGCGTAGAATGTTTGCGAAGGATTCGTGCAAACTCAAATTCAAAAATGTTTAGGGCTACAGGAAGCATCGAAAAGTTTACTCGGCTATTGTCTGATTGTTATCTCCATGCGCTCAAAATAGCGACATCGGAATCTCCAAATTGTTTTTAAGATACTGTCATCATTAATTGAGACCTGGAAGAAATCTGGCAATATTGAGCTGACTCGCGGCGGGAATCCTAATTCTCCGAAAGTTAAGATAATTTTTGATTGAGTCAAGTCTGGTTGGTGGAATGTCCTGTTAACTAATTTAAACATACAATCACTGCTCTGGCTTTCGTAACGATTTTAAGATATGGCACATTATGTTGCCGTGGCCGCTTACATCCTGACGCGCCCTAGGCTTTTATCGGTGTTAAAGGAGGCAGGGCTGCTCAGTGCGCCTTAATTCCCACGAGCGAGTGAAAAGCAACCTGACGGTTAATATGACCGAGTTACAGCTGTATCATCGCGACGAGCGAAACTGCAAACAGCAAAAACGTGAAGTGTAACCTCGATATCTGCGTCGTGCTTGACATTTTGCTCATCAATATAGGATGACTCTCTATGTGGAAGTTCGCTGCCCTGAAGCTGGCTAGTTTCCGCGGGCCCACCGAATACTTATCAGAAACGTTCATCGAGCAGGCCGGCAAAGACACGCCGTCCAGCAGTTATATTTCGCGACCTCTCTGTTGTTAAGCACGTCGACTATCTCCGAGGGTCACGGTATGCGTTAATACTCAAAATTTGCCTCCTTAGAACAACAGCAGTTTGGAACCTCGTTGCCACGTTTGCAACCAAGCTATCGACATTTGACTGAGTCATGAGAAAGGAATCGTGGTTAGACCGAAGTACATTTACATAAAATAACGAATACGTTCGCATTCTCTTCGGGTATAACCCAAAGACGTTATATCTCATATGTAAGAGGTCTGATTTGATGCGGTTTTATCGTGGTATCATTGGCCACAGAGACTGCATCGATGCGTAGGTTGATTGCATTTGATAGCGCCTTTTACCTAACAACACATTTTCTGTGTATCGCTTGCCTCTAGTATCGCTGTGTTTCTTTGATTCCTTGGCTCTCAGGCATAGCCTCGCACACTTTAGCCCATGACTTTCAATATCTTCAATTTAAACGATTAATTTTTCTCCAGAACAGAATCGGGGTCACTTCAGTAAGCTGAATTTGATCGACAGACGTTTGACTGGAGTTACTTCATGGCGGTTTCAGAAGATCTTGGGGTTTATTAATCACTTTATGTAAAATTATATATAGGCAGTCGTGGAGGCATGTAACGCTTTCTTCAGCGCAAACTCACTGAGTGGTAGTAACTCACCCCAGCACCGTGGTCTCTCCACGCGTGTGCTCAAAAGATACCCCCAACATTATGCATTTCGAGTATTTTAGCACATTATATGTTCTCGGGTCGTCAGCACTTGACGTGTCGAATTCGGTGCCGATGAGCTTAAATTGTGTTTGCTGAAAAAAAGCTATAAGCCACAGATGCATATACAACATAAAGGCCACCGGTAAGCCATCCTGACAAAACACATCGTTAAGGAACAGCTTAGCGGCATTCTCACCGGTCACATTATTCCGGTCACCGGCGAGTTGAGTCATCAGGATCAAACGGTTTAAAAATTCTCCAATACTGCTGTTACCAGGTACGCTTTTGATACAGCAAAAAATACTTCATCTACCAAAACCGGCAGGTTTGCCATAGGTGGGCAAAGGTACCACCGCAAGCGGCGACGACCTACCTCATTGATAGTTTTTACCGGCTCATACGTTTTTGACACTACTATATAACGCACACAGAGTGGCATATGTTATCTCATTTGAGGTGGCTGTTCCGAAATTTATCATGTGCTTTGTATCGTATCTGTACTTAAAACCCTCGTCGTGAAGGACCACTGCGTTGTGTGATATGGGAGTCAGTTCAATGCCTTGGTAAAATACATAGTAATGTAGGCGTGAAGTGGCATCTGAAGTGTCAAACACCTTGCATCCCAAAATTTTCCACAGCGTAACTTATTCTGCGTCTGACACATTCGTTATACGTCTCGGCTTATCAAATGGCGATGAGATCGTTGTTACACGAGCCAACATAAATTGGGACGACGTGGAAGCACTTCTTCCACCACGTTATGCAATCCTGGTTTAAGCCAAACCTGATATTGACGAAATAAGATAATGTTTCTACCACATTCTAAAAGAAATGCGGGTACGATATCGCTGTGTGGGGGGATGCATGGTTTATATAAAACAAAATTGGCTTTAACCCAAGCAAGGTCACCCTAACCTCGACGAGAACATACTATATTAAAATCAACTTTTCTCATGAGCAAGTTGCTTCTGAATTGTAGCATAAAGCTGACAAAACATGAATACGATGACGGTCCCATGCGTTCTGACGTTTGCTTGAAGCAGAGCTCAAAAAATTCAGCTAAGGTTGACGCGTCACAAGCGATGAGATTAATCAATCCGTATTCAAAGGATTCAGTGTCGGGACACACATGAAGCGTTCAGCACACCCCTGAAAATTGCCTCTTTAGCTGCATTTCAACGCCATTTGACTTCCATTTTTAAAAGAATAGAAACGTAGGTATAATGTCGGCACTTTTTGAACTGTACGTGAGCTAGCGGTTGACCAGGCCAAGCACGCTTATTCGGGACAAAGGCAATGACTTTACAATGATTTTTTTCTTTGCGATATCTGCCTGCAGACCCTGCTTCTTAGTAGTGCAACTCGGAAAAATGTTTTCATTGGCACCAATAACATAATTATCGATGTTAAAGAACAGCATATTTAGATGCACACATTTGAGCACCGTGCTTAAGTGTTTTCCGTGGTAGTTCACGCCGAATTTCCTACGCCATACATGAATACGGGAAATATACAGGTTTCTGGATAGCTATGGTGTGGTTTGCGCAGCTAACATTCGAGCGGACGTCATTGGGGTATGAGTCTGTCGCTGTATCATGAAAAGCCAACTCAAACGAGTTTCACTCTGACTATTCAGTGTAATTAGAGGATTCGCTGTCCTTCATTCGCGGTGGATGATTTTAAACCGTCTGTTTAGCGAAGTCAACAAAGAGCAGCCGACCATTCTGTGCGGCATATATCAGAAAACGGAGATTGTGTAATAAATTAGCTGCATTCAGCTTACTAAATGTATGCACAATTTGCCTGTCAGTTTAACAACGAAAATCGACGTCGAGCGTGATAGTTTGTCTACGTGCCTTGCTCGGAAGAAAGCGCTAGTGGCATTTCAGTTATACCTTGATTGGGGCTGTCGTCGTGCAATAATTAGATTGAATCAAATCAATGTCGTGGCATACTCCATTTTCTGGGCTAACACACGTGGTGGATGTCATCACATCGCGGTAATCCTCCAACAGAGGACAGCAAATGGTCCGCTGAATTGTGAAGAATACTGATTCCACTTCTTCCGCTCAGTGCTCCGCGAAAGTTGTAAATGACAGATCTATCCACAGCAATGATAGAGACCAGAATTTCCTCTGGGGCTAGCTGTGCCATTTCAACGGCGTTACCGTCTATCGATTCCGTGCGCGCATCCAATCAAATTTGTTTTTGCTTCATAACAGCACCTTTGGAGATCGTGGGGGTAGTTTTACAACCTCCAAATACTACCCAGTAACTTCATTTCCAAGTGAATAATTATTTCGGCAATTAACCGCAGTGCTTACCTCTCTAGACAGTCGGCCGATCACACAGTAGTGCTTAATAAGCAGTAGCGTCACAGCGACAAGATAAAATATTTTTGATTTTCTGATCCTAGTCTTTAAACGCACGTTT